TATATATATATATACATTTAATTTTTTTGTATGGATGCCTGTTTCTGGCACTAAATAAAAAAAATTAAAAAGTTAATTGCAACTTTTTATCTGACTTCTTTTCTCAGAATTGTTTGATATAAACTTGTAATTGTGAAGAAAAAAAGTCAGAATTGTGAGATAAACAGTTGCAATTACCTTTTTTTTTGGTGGAAACTGGTGTTCTCGCTTTTTTTTAATTATTATTATTATTTTTTTTTTTTTAAATGTTATGGTTTCAGTTTTAGTTAACTGTAATAATTCTCTAAATTCTTACTTCATCCAAAAATTAAGATTCAGTCCCCTGAACTTCCTTCTGAGGAGCACAAAATAAGACGATTCACCAAATGTTCACGCTGCTCTTTAACATACACTGAAAACGAACAGTGAGCAGGAAAAATACACTGTAAAAAGTACCATAAAGTGTCTCTTTTTTTGTGTTCCACTGCAAAAAGAATGTCCTACGGGTATGGAGGAACATGAGGGCGAGTGACTAATGATTCATCAAGCCATGAATGGTTTAAACGTCTCTGTGCTGTGTTTCAGGCGGACGGTGTCTGGGTGTCCTCAGACGGATGGAGGTCAGCGGCCGCTTCCGCTATTACTTCCAGCACCCCTGGTCTCGTCTGGTGGTGGCCTACCTGGTCACCTTCTTCAACTTCCTGATCTTCGCCGAGGACCCGGTGTCGCACAGCCAGACGCAAGCGCACATGATCGTGGTGGGAAACTGCTTCTCGTTCGTGGTGAATAAATATCCCGGAGGAGGATGGGACGTCCTCAAGGTCCTGATGTGGATCCTCGCCATCATCACGGGCCTCATTGCCGGCAAGTTCCTGTTCCATCGACGCTTGTTCGGTACGTCCGCGATTTTATTGTGATTATTTATTTATTCTTCTCCTCGTCTAGGGGCTCAGATCGATTATTTAATCTCAGACGAAGGGCAGATCATTAAGATAAGGTTTGCAGCACAAGACGTTTCTGACTTGTGTGTCTAGTAAACTAGTATAGTATCCAACTTGATGTTTTATGATTTTATGGTCCCATAAGTCTAATGTAACGTATTGTTTTAAAATAGATATATTAGTTAAGTTATTACAGGCCACTTATATATTTATATAAATATTTAATATTTTATTTATATAT